AGAGAGAGAGAGAGAGAGAGAGAGAGAGAGAGAGAGAGAGAGAGAGACAGAGAGACAGAGAGAGCGCGCGCGCAGAGCTCCTGGCATGTTGTATATACGATCGTTTCCTCACTTGTTTAAATAGTGCAGCTTGTGTTGGCAGTGCTCTTACTCAGCTCCAAATGGTTTGCATCATGCTTAAAGCACCCTCCTTCCTTCCCTCTCCCTCCTTCCCCAGCCACAGAACTCTGCACTAGGAAAACAGCCAGGGCTTTTTCCCTTCTCTAAGGAGGAGAGTGATAAATAGGTGACTAGAGAGAAGCAGACACCATGTGTTAACTTACAAAAAAAGCTTTTAGGACTATGAAGCATTCCTCGCTGCCTGGTTTCTATTTTCCTTCCTCTAAGGACTGTTTTAACCCGACTTTTTTCTTGTCTGTTTATAGAAAACAAAGGCCATTCCCTGTTGCCCCGGTGGGGACTGTGGAGCTTCTAGTTTAACAGTTGGGTCTTCAGCCAGTGGAGAGTAGGGCAGTCTGGGTTGTTCCACCACACTCGTGGGGAATTAGCAGTCTCCTGTGCTAAGGTACTCTTAGAGTCTGTGACAACGTACTCCCTAGGGGTGAGGCCTTTGGGGAGCAGTCCATGAGCGGCTTCTCAGGAGGAAGTCTTTTTTTTTTTTTTTAATAGATGAATGTTATTTTATTTTTAGGTCTTAGTTTTTGAGAAAGTCTCTCACATATAGCCCAGGCTGACCCCAGAATGGCTGTATAGAAGAGGCTGGCCTTAAACTTCTGATCCTCCTGTCTCAATCTCCCAAGTGCTAAGATAAGATATGTGTCACTACAAAAAGGAAGAAGAAGTCTTCAATCAAAAATGAAATGCATAATAGACAAAGAAGTGATTTTGTTAAGTCAGTAAACTGACTTTCAGGGTTGGGCTCTGACTCCAGAATGAAGTACTTGCCTGGCCTTGCACCCACATGGCAGCTCACAACTGTCTATAACTCCAGTTCCAAGGGATCTGACACCCTTACACAGACATACATGCAGGTAAAACACCAGTGAACACAAAATTTAAAAAGAAAAAAAATTTTAAGCCTTGAGTTCAATTTTCTACACCAAGACAGAAAATAAAAACTGAATTCTAAACATGACGTGTAAATATGGGATTTGTTTGTTTGGTTTTTGAGGCAGGGTCTCACTGTATAGACCTGGCTGGCATGGAATTCAAAGAGATTCTCTACCTCTGCCTTTTAAGTGCCAGGGTTAAAGACATGTGCCACCATGCCTGGCCTATAAGAGATGCTACTAATGTGCTGCCTAAGTCTCTGTATTTATGTATTGATATCATTTATACATAAACAGTCCTTTAGAACATAAAGCAGAGTGACTGAGGTTGTTTACCAAGCACAAGACCCTTGGTTTGATCCTCAATACTGCAAACATAAGTGTACAGCAAAAATTAAAACCCTGGGGTCATACATGTACTGTTGTCTCTTTTCACATACTTCAATGTATTCTTATATTGAAATTGTTATGTGGTGCTTGGAATCAAATAATTTTTTATGATCACTTAGGGTTTTGTTGTTTTGAGACAGAATTTCTCTGTGTAGCCCTGGCTGTCCCGGAACTACTTTATAGATCAGGATGGCCTAAAACTCAGAGACCCACCTGCCTCTGCCTCCCAAGTGCTGGAATTACAGGCTACCATTCCCCAGCTTATTATAAACAGTGAGTTTATGCCTTATAGCAGATTTTGAGCATGTATTCCCTGTACTTAAATTTCTTTTTAAGTAGAGAAATATTCTATGGCGTGGGCTTATCAAAAGTCTATATCCAACTGCCCAGTGGCAGGCAACCTTTGTACTCCCTGAAGCAGTAGTAAGGATTCAAGGTCATTCTCAGCCACATAAACTAGTTCAAGGTCAGCCAGTACAATAGGAGACCCTGTCTCAAAAAACAAAACAAATAAGCCCTGGGGGTAGAGCATAAAAATTGAAAACGTACCTAGATTGTGCAAGGGCCCAGGGTTCAATCTTAACACTGAAAATAAAAGAAAATGTGTAAATAGAAATAAAAACCAGAGGCTAGAAAAATGGTTCAGCAGTTAAGAACATTTGCTGTTCTTCCAGGAGACCTGGATTGATTCCCAGCATCCACATGGTTGCTCACAACCATCACTAACTCTGGTTCTAAGGAATTCAGTGCCCTCTCTGGTTTCTGTGGGTACCTGTACACAGATAGGCATGCACCAAAACATTTAGGCACATAAAATGAAAATAAATCTTTGAAAACTCATACTCTTCAGATTTGTTTAATAACTAATGGTTCTTAGAAGAAACTTTCTTTCACAAGAGGAGTGCTTGTTTTATGCCTTTGCAGAAAAAAAAAAAAGAGGATAAAATTCTGTTCTGCTTGTCTGGTCTCAGAAGTGGGTAATAATATGGGTATATATAGTAAGAGGCTGAAGACAGGTAAGAATTGTTTGCACCAATGAGGAAGATGTTGAGTTAAAAGACAAACTAAGTATCAATATCTTGGGTTAGTGCACCCTGATAATCATTCCCCCCACCCCCCACCCCCCTCTCTCTCTCTTCTAATCTTTGTTGATCATTAGGTGGACTTGATTCCAGAAGATCCTTCTGGGAGATCCTGTTACTTAGTGCAGAACAAGGGAGGAGTCCCAACCAGCTTTAGGGCTTCTGTACCCTCATTTTTATCAGCTTATCAGTATTCCCAGCTGTAGTGTTAGATACCAAATCTATGGCCTGGATGGAGAAGAATGAGGTCTTCTGTGCACCCTTACCTTTTGGAAGCGGTCACAAGCTACCCAGTAGCAACCAGCTACATGCAGGTTTTTAAAAAGCGTGTAGATATGGTTCCTTTCCACACCTTTATTCCATTCAGTGAGTATTCCTATGATCCCTAGTCAGTTTCTCTTACAGTAATTATAGTGATGTGTAATCACAGAGCATCAGTGCTGAGTCTGGTGGTCCAGACCTGTAATCCTGGCTACTCAAGGAATGGAGATAGGAGTTATAATCAAGACCTTCCTGGGCTACAGGGAAAACTGGGACTGACTGGATAACTTAATGAGACTCTATCTTAAAGTGAAGGAAGCTAGCTTTCCTAGTATGCACAAGCCCCTGGGCTCAGTCTTCTAGTAACAAGCCCCACATCCCCAAAATTAATAAAGTCTGCAAATCATACTAAACATTTTTACTTCTAAACATTATGATAACTTTTCTACTTGAAGTAAAATGCCAATATGTTACTAATGGGTGTCTGTACCATTTCTGACCTGACAGTACCTTCCCCTGCTACCTCTCTGGCCTCAGCTCTTACTGTCCTTCTCCTTTTCCTCTGTGCTCTGCACACGTTGCATATTGGTCATCCTTGCCGTTCCTCAAGCAGTCCAAGCACTCATGCCTCAGGATCTTTGCAGTTACTCTTATCCTAATCTGAAAATGCTCTGGACCGGGTGCGTGTGTGTGTGTGTGCGTGTGTGTGTGTGTAGCTAGATCATTTCCGTGTCATTGTCACCTTGTTGGAACAGGCTTCCTATATAAAAATGCTACCTTTTCCTTTGACTCTAATTTATTGTTTTCCATGGCAAGGAAAAATCAATCATCTATCATGTATTAGGCCCTGACCTAGATTTTTCTGTCTAGTAATTCCTCTCAATAAACCTATCTAAGCATTTATTTAAAAAGGGGGGGGGGGGGG